GATTAGTTCTTCCATGTACTATGAGGCATAATAAATAACATGTTCCTATTCACAAAGTGGGCTACTTATGCTACAAATACTGACAATATGTGTTGTATAGGTAAAAATGGGGTTCTGATACAATGTTTTCAAACAAATTTATCCAAAATTTAAGAGCATTTGTATCTTATATTTTGGCTTTGGCCTACCTTGTAAGAAAGGTGTATAAAATAAAGGCTATTTCATTAGATATTATATGATCTTTCCTTGATCCATGAAACCCCTGTGTTGCATTTTGAGTTACAAGTTGGAATAAACCTAGAACCTCAAAGTGAAATTAATTGAAAAGAGCCAAGTTGCATATAGTTGTATATGGAAATAATGTGAAAACACAAGGTGTATATTATTTCAGTCCTGAACCACTGATAAATCCCAGTTTTGAACAAGCCAAAGCTCAAACCTTAGTTAGGCTTTATGAATTTGCAGTGATTTCAGCCTTTGTCAATGTGAAATCAAGTGTAACAATCTTTGAGTTTTATGGTCAGTGTTTTTAGTAATAAGATACAGACAGATTTTTGCCTGGCCCTTGTGTGCATAGATTGAATAGTTCACCCTGAGCACAGGCACAGCCTACTTCAGAGCTCCAGGAAAAATTGGCTCCCTGAGGGACAGTTCTGTTGCACACTTACACTTCAGGTTTGCAAGGCTGTGCTTAAGGCACACAGTAGAGGCCATAGGTGGTAGGCTCCTTGCAGTCTCAATCTGAGTTTACCTACTAGCAATTATACCTACTAGCTCCAAAAAAATGTCATCCTTTGTACCTTTCCTCTATGTAAAATGGCATACACATCATTTGTCGGGGTGTGTGAAGTGGGCCCTATTCAATTCAGTTTTGGATTCGACCTGAATCAGGGACAATGATTTGATTCGTTGATTCGGATCACTGTCTCTGATTTGATTCGGCCGAATCAAAAAATGAAAATTTGATGCTGATTTTGAGAATCAGCGATTCGGACATAGACACAGCTTTAAAAGTTTTTTCTACATGCCTTGAGTTAGGAGGCATGGCTTGTGATCGCTGCGATGCTGGGGTGCATGGAACATCCCATAGGAGTGCGGGGGGCCCTCCACGTGCTTGGCAATGAACCCAGAAGTGGAATTACTTCCGCTACATGTCTGAGTTCACCAAGGAGCATGCTGAGGCCCTGCCCCCCTCACCTCCTTGGCTCCATGATTGGCCCCAGGGTCACTCTGGGTGCCCCCCCAGGCCCAGGAGAAACCAGTTGCTGAGCCAAAGGGTGCAGGGGTGGGGGCAGTGTACTCCCTGGTGAACCCGGAAGTGGACTGGAAGTGCTTCTGGTCCACTTCCGGATCTGCTGCCGAATACTCTGGAGAGCCCCCCATGCTTCTGTGGAACACTCCATGCACCCCAGCATCACAGAATTCACGAGCCCCTGCTACCTAGAGGTATGTAGAAAAGACATTTAAAGCTGCGTCTATATCTGAATCTTTCTGAATCTCTTCAAATCGATTTGGAGGGTTCTGATTCAATTCAGAGTGATTAAAGTGTCCTCTGATTCGATTCAGATTCAGAGATTCGGCCACTGAATCAGGCCAAATCTCTGCCAAATCGAATCAGGGACTGAAGCTTTGCACCACCCTAATCATTTGCACCGTGTAAGTGAAACTTTAAGAAACTATCAAAAAAGTTAGTGAACAGCCCTACTGGCAGGTGGTTACAGTGTATTTTGCTTCTGGATGATATTCATTATCTAAGGTATTTGATAGAGGTTTATGCCATTTGTATAAGCCACATGAATTTAAATATGTGCAAATATCTTCCATCTGCAAAAACCCTTTGCTTATTTTAATCAAATCTTAATAGGCCAAACTCTGCTTTCAGTTGTACCAATATTAACACAAAGTAACTGGATTGCAGTTAGAGCTCCCAGATTTGTCCTAGTGTGAGAGCAGAATCTATTTTTTCTGAGTTATTCTCTTGACAGATTGTTTAATTGAAAGAACAATTGACTACCACTTTCATTAACAAAATGTGAAATCCTGATTATCTTGTCAGTTGAAGGCATACAATTATCATTGAAACTGTATCCTCTATGTTTAGTGTTGTCAATTAGAAAAGTACCAAAGTTCTTCCCAAGGAGTAAATTGTGGTATCCTGCAGTGCACTTGGCTTTTGAAAAGATTTGGCATATCTTTATACAATTACACAGATGTTTTGCAGAGTGACTTGTTTTGAGAGAGTTCACACCACTGAAACAGATTTGTCAGAATTGTCCACCTAGTAGTGCTTTATGTGAAAGTAGCATTTCCTTGTGATCTCTAAAGATGAACTACCTAATGGAAAATATTTGTTCATGAAATGAAGAACATTCAAAATGTGCTAATGCTTGAGTAACAATAAGGCTGGTTTATTACATATATAGCTTTCTGCTAATGATTGAAGTTACTGGCTACTCTAAAAAAGGTTGATTTGGAGGCTGACATTACTTACAGATTCTTACTACTACTTTATCTGCTGGTTTATATGATGGTGTTGGCTATCATGTAAAAATACACCTGAAAACAAGATTAAATGTTAATAAATGTTTGCCAAGACATGGAACAGACTCTACTGTGTGCATAAGGGTGGGCTCTGTGTTTTGTCCAGTAGAGCTACAGTATTACTGAGATAGCCATAAGAACTTAAGTACAAGACTTGTACAATAAAATATGGTCCCTCCAGGAAAAAGTAAATGTTAGTCAGAAGCTCATTTAGCAGTTTAATTTGTTGACTTGATACTTCCTCAAATAAGTGATTGTCTTCTATGCTTGTTATGATGAAGCGATCATCACCCCCTCCCCCCCGGGGTACAGAGGGAGGATTAGAATAGTTTGGTTACATAGGTAGCAATAAGTGATAAATAAGCTCCCTTTGAGATGGCAAATTCTGTGCATCTGTCAATGACTGAGTTCTATTTCACACTGGTTCTCTAGAGGCATTATTTCTGGATTTCCTGTTTACAGGATCCACCACATAATAACATAGCTGTTATGTCCCACATAATATTGTGCTTAGAATTCAACAATAATGTGCATGTGTAAAAAGAAAAGAAAAGAATAAACCCAAACTCAATGAAATTCAGGTTTCCTTGTGGAGAAGCTCATTTTCTTCCCTGCTCAAAACTCAAACAGTAAATCAAAGGTTTCTCATTAGATTCTATGTTAAGCTTGTTGCCAGTTGAACAGCATCACATGCACTGGTGAATCATTGAACGACATATTATTCCAGAATCGTCTGTTTATTAGAATAGATGATACAGGGCTAACCTTGTCAGCCTTTTGTATATTATCCCTGCACCGTCACATTTGTTTATAATCTGAAAATGTAGTTGCTACAGTGACTTAATTATTTTTATGGGAATAGAGTTTAATAAACATTAGCTGCTTCTACCTCCCACTCCTTAGTGCAAAAAAAAAAAAAAAAAAAAAGGAACACGACTATAATTAAAGACAAACTGAGTGAAGGTTGCTTCTGCAGCATACACAGTAAAGTGACAGTATGGTATCATTCCCATTTTTAGTTAGTATTTTTAAGATAATTACTATGTTTGCCATGATATTTTAAATCAGTCCTATAAACATTGATCTTTATATTGTTGTTTCTTTCTCCCCCAGATGTACATCCAGACAACAACACTTACTGTCTCCATGAGTTTAAGTGCTTCTGTGTCTCTGGGTATGCTCTACATGCCCAAGGTTTATATTATCATTTTTCATCCAGAGCAGAATGTTCAAAAACGGAAGAGGAGCTTCAAGGCTGTTGTGACAGCTGCCACAATGCAAAGCAAACTGATCCAAAAAGGAAATGACAGACCAAATGGCGAGGTCAAAACTGAACTCTGTGAAAGTCTTGAAACCAACAGTAAGTCATCAGTAGACTTTCCCATGGTCAAGAGTGGGAGCACTTCCTAATAGATGTACGTTCACATGAATGCATTCTCTTCTAATAATAAACTTAATTCTTTTCTTTGCTTGTATTGCATGAATCCAGGGATGTGTCAGAATTCATGTACCACTGAGCACAGGACTCCTCACAGTTGTTTCATACAAATCTTTTTTATGGTTAACAGGAGGCTAGTAAAAAGTATAAACACATTTTGGAAAGTCCACATCTTTTTTCAAATGTTCTGGTCTAGCTTGTACTTTTTGATGTGTTGTGCTCTACTGTGCCAGTCTTGTTATGTACTGTCACTTCATGGGATGTATTTATGTGCAAGAAACTATATTTCTAAAGACTATTAAGGGTTATAACTGCACGTGCTACATTATTTTAAAAATTGCAACTTGACATATGGGTGAAAATATCCCTTCTTTGCCAGTCTACATGGCATTAGTGTTTCTTGTATAACTTGAACATTTCTCATAATTTATCAATGCTGCCTCCAGCTGGTGTGGACTTCTGGGGATAATATAACTCACCCAGATTTCCCCTGAATTTCTGCATTCTGTAAAAACAGTAGTTGGATACATTTTTAATTTGACAAAAAAAAACCCAAATAGACAAAATAAAACATAAGAATCTGTGTACCAAGGGCTCCTGCACGTACGGATTAGTCATTACAGTTTTAGGTTTGCCAAGGGGTAGAAGTGAGAAAGGGTTATTTTCCACACCTGGAAGGTTCTTGAATCCTGGCACATCTCTAAATAACTTTTTGGAATGAAATAGAACAGTTAGTATAACTTCCATACAGCAGCATGTCGTAAAGCCTCATAAACTGTACTTCTGAATAAAAAATAAAAGCAGATTTGAATAAAGCCAATAATTCTCCTTCCCCAAATCCAGTGGAATTAGAGAACAAGTTTCTATCTAGCAGATAAAGCTTCAGTGAGACAGGCAGCTGCTGTTTTAGTTAAGGACTAATTCCTCACCAATTATTCTGCAAATGGATCCTACAGAGTTTTATGAATTTTTATTATTTTCTGGTAATTTTGAAGGGAAATTGAATAATGATATTTTGCTCATAAACATTCCAGTGCTAAAAGACGTGCAAGAAAACCTGTTGTACTTATGCCCTACACATGCAAACTCCCACTGAATTCAATCAAAGTTTTCCAGATGAAGAAAGTATAAAGTTGAAAAAAGGATCTTTGATTTAGCCAATAGTATAGTTATCAAAGCATGAAGGATAATGGGCATAAAAGAATTTACCTGTAAAATGTGTGGTGCAATTCATTGTATGTAAATCTTCTAGATGATACAAGAGGCACAGGATATGTCTACATGAGATGCCACATAGCCATAGTGATGAGCTACAGTGATTCAGGTCTGCTACAGCGATGTAGCATCAGTAGGCACATATTGTGATGCTGCCACTACTGTGCAGTAGGGTTAGAAATGACCCATGTGGTGCTGAGACTACACAGTACTGGTGATTACCATGCAGTTATTTAGTACTTGCTAGAGCAAGTACTAACTGACTGTGCAGTAACAAGTGCGCAGTTGGGCACAGGTGTACACACACTGTGTCATGGGTTTATATAGGTTCAGATTACTACATATAGCAATAATGTTGAAATTCCCTGAGGATCTAGTAATAATGAAAATGTGAAGAATTCAACACTTTCACAATTCCTCAGAAGTCACCAAAATAAAATAGGGGGTGGAGGGGTAGGGACAGGGAGGAATGAGGGAAAGAGTATTTTTATTGCCAAGTTTGCAAAATGGTCCACCTTAGAAAGAAAAGTCAACTGTAGTTCCACAGTAGGATGAGGATGGGATGTATACCTGAGGTTTATCAGTTCTATCTAATTAAAAAATGCTCTGTCTGGTATTCTTTAAATTGATAATACATAATTCATGAAAACAGCTGCCAGTGGAAGCAAGCCTGCTTTTGCCAGTAGTGTGATGCACATAGGGAAATACATATTTACTGCACTGTAAATCTGATTTCAACACTAGCACATCTATATAGTTTTAAACCTTCCTAGTAGTACATTCCTTCAAGTCTATGAACCATGTAGTTTACTGCTCTATAAGCAAGGATTTAAAAAATCAATGTATCTCCATTTTGAAGAGCTAGCCCTATGTAACTAAGTTGGCTTCACCAAAAGTATAGAGCTCTTAGCTTTTCAAAACATTTTCTCCTTTGCCTATAAGATTGTATTAAATATATTCTTCTTCTTCCAATATAATGATATAATATTTCAGAGGCTTCAGTAGATGCTTAGACCACATAAAAATGAAATCTTTCCCGTGGATCAATCTTAATAGCCCCCAATACAGCATAAATCCCCTCCTAACTAACGCCTATTACCCAATCTCAAAAGTGTTTAGGTTATTAAAGTTATGTCATGTAAGACCCATCTAGAGGAATCAGGGTCTCATTAGGACCCTGGAAATGGAGGAGAAATCTTTCTTCCTCTTACCTAACTAAAAATTATGAGGATTATACCAGTAATAGTAGCAGCAGTATGCCATTATTAGTAGTATACCACTAGTGTGTTTTATATCGCTACTAAAGGACAAACAGGAAGAGGGGAGTTTCTTCACCTGTTTTTGGGAGGTGCTAGAATGGGCATCTTGGAAGTTCATCTTAAAAAATATTATGTAAAATTCTAACTCAATTGACATGCTGATCTCAACATAATGAAAAGATATGTACGCATATCTGCAAGCAAGATTTGGTCATTGAACAAGTAGGAGGGTAGTAGGAGACACTGTATACAGGTGAGTGAAACAGGAGCTTCAGCATTTGGCTGGAGATTTGCCAATTTATACCAGTCCAGAGTATGACCCAAAAGAACAAAATCCTATATTTAATGTGCAGAGAAAAGTCCTATATGTATATTTGCAATGGCTCTTCAGGATCAGATCTGAAAGCAGAGATTAGGTGGGGTTTCAACAGGTCACTAAGAATGAGAGGATAGACAGGTTCATAGGTGGATCTAGGATTCTGCAAAGTGGGGGGCACATTATCATATAACACATATGCATATTTTTCTCCAGTTAAAAAGGAACCAGAAGTTTTACTAATATAGTAGGGGGCTAGCACTATATTATTCTGTTTAGGATCAAAGCAAAAAGCAAATGTACTCATTGGAATGTGAAATAATTTGCTACAGTATATATACAATTTTAAAAAACACAACAAACTAGGCAAAAAATAGCTAAAGGATATTGTATCTTTAGTTCTCTAGTCATTATAGTAAAATGTACATCTATTATTCAAATTCATAAAATAAAATCTAGCCTTCTTGAGCATCTATAAAATTGAAGAACGCCATCACCAGAAATGGCTAACAAACCAAATATGCCAAGGAAAGGATAGCTTGAATAGAAAAGCATTATGATCATTAAAAAGGAGAAAGGGCCATTAATACCTCTGGAATGAAGACAGATTAACAGGAATCAGAGAGAAGATAATGAGCCATGAAGTCAATTGAGTGTCTCCGCACTGCCTGAATAGAAATGCTACTACCTCTCCCAGGCAGTTGGTTTTAAAGTTTGGGCATGGCAGAAGTGAAAGTGACTGGCAGGAAGCAGGAAGGGAGGGAGCAGCTGTACCACTGCACCTCCCCACCCTGGACAGGATGCAATCAAGTAAACATGAGACTGGAAAAAGGTAGTAAAGATGATTAACACCAGGCCAGAGTAATATTTTGCTTTAATTTCTCCTGTGTTTCTGATACTCCCTCTGCTGCAGTATATATTTTTACCAGTACCCTTCTCAGGTATCTTTCTAATTTTTGTTGTCATGGGTTTGTTGTTGTTTCCACAATCCATCTCTTTTTGGATATTTTGCTTTGTGTCATTTCATTCTTTCTGCCTTTTCTTTATCTGAGTTTTTTTGTTTCTGCTGCATCCTCCCCCCATCACCTCCTGTCCTCCTCTCCCAACCTCTTTGGAAGTGTTTCCCCCCCCCACCTTTCCTTTCTTTTAAATTATTTTTTCCCTATTTTTATACTATTATTTTATCTGTCCTTTTTGTTATTTGTCTTCTGCCCTTGTATTGCCTGTATGTAATCTCTCTGAAGCCATTTTCTCTTTTATGTCACGTTCCTTTTTAGCTACCCTTGTTCTCTAAGCTAATTATATCCTTTATCTCTCTCTTTTGCATGTCTTGGGCACATTGTTTTTATGCAGTGCTTTTATCCCCCTGTACTGACCCAGTCACCAAGTGTATCCAATAGGTGTTTTTCACTACCCTTCTTCTAGGCCCATGCATAAAATCCATCCTCCATAAAAGTAAATGGCAAAAATAACACTAACTTCAGTGAAGACAGGATTTCATCCATGAACTGTGATACATACATATGCTACCCACATCATTACAAAATACACAGATCTGGAGGATTGGGACTAGAACTCTTGCCTATTGGATTTGCAAGGGACAGATCAGTAGTACTTGAGCTAGGTGAAAGAGAGCTAACTAGGCTCATATACAAAGCCACTTAGAATATCAGTCACTGGTGTTTTAACTATTTCTGGCAACATATAGACATTCAGTTTATCCTGGGAGAGTTGCTTGCTCTACCAATAGAAACTAGGATTTTTCTCACAAAAGTGGCTATTCCAAAAAACAAATAACTCAGGAATAACCAGAGTTAAATGGCTCCTAGGAGAGTTGCTTATGGGAGAGCAAACTTCTATACACATCTAGCTTCTGAAAGAAACTGCAACACAATCCTCCAACTTCCTAGCATGTTTTGCTTGTAGCCCTCTCCCTTCCCTCAGGTCTAGGGAGAATCCCTTCACTATGCTGCAAGGGAAGCAATCTGAGTCAGCCAATCCGGGCTGCTCTGTGCACTGCTGTCATCAGTGCACTGCTGTCATCGCTCTGTATACTGTTGTCATCACTGCTAGGAGCCTGCAGAGCAGGCTCAGATGTGTGCACAGGAGCCCCTTGACTATGCAGAAGTGGT